ATTAGACACCAGCATTGATTTTCTCAATTTTCTCGTTTTATGACATGTATTGATAAAATGAGGGGCACAACAAGTCGAGTTCTCGATGGCTCACAAGAACAGTTGTGCTGCCTGATAGACTATTCCGAACATTCTTAAAACTAGTCGAAAAGGGAAAATTGCAATTCAACAAGTTTCTTGATAACGTATTGATAAAATGAGGGGCACAACAAGTCGAGTTTTCGATAGCTCACAAGAACAGTTGTGCTGCCTCATAAACTATTCCGAACATTCTTAAAACTAGTCGAAAAGGGAAAATTGCAATTCAACAAGTTTCTTGAAAATGGAACAAACTAAAATAGTCCCCCCAAAAAAATTCATCTACTTCTTAAGTCCAAATGAAGACCAATAATAAATCACCTCTAAACAATACAAATTTCAAACCAAGAAAAAAAAATGAAAATATGTGCATGGAAAATGGTCATTTAGAAATGATAAACTAATTTCAAGTAATAACAACAATAATCAGATCATCTTCTCATCTCAATTCAATACCAACGAACGGATAGAATTGAATATGATCGAAGAAGATTTTATGATAATACTAGAAGATTCTTGTGTTCAATCTTGCGTTCTAAACATGCTATAAAGGATATCAAACAGAAAAAGAGATGGGATTGTGTTCCATAACTCCACAATTATTCAAGTTGCAATAACGATAACTGAGTTTGTTTATCCAACTGCAATCCAGCCATCTCAGCCTCCCGGCAGACTTCTTTACACTTGGCCAACCTTCCCGAAACCACGTAAATTTTGATTAATTCCCGATAAATGTCAACAGTTGGAGAAAAACCTGACTCCTTAAGTTTAGAAAAATATCTTGCAGCCCTCGAGAGATCATTCAAAGCTACGAAGAGCTTTATTACCACTCGATAAGCTGGGAGATCAAACAGACAGTTTGAAGCCTCCATTTCCCAGACTACATCCATTGCCTCCCTATATCTTTTCTCAGAATATCGACTATGAATCAGGGTGGTGTACATGACTACACTTGGAACTCCATTAAACTTCTTGAACCATTCGTATAATGCCTCTACAACATCAAACTTCCCGAGTTTTATGCAAATTTTCATGATAGCCGTACAATCCTGCTGAGTTAATTGGAGATCCTCTCTATTTGCGAGCTCCTCCAATAAGGGCAATACAAGTATTCTTTTATCGGGATTTTTCCCAAGTTCTAGTATTAGCTTCGCATAAACACCAGCATCCAATGTCCTTTTCCCATCCGTGGCAGCTGAAACAAGCTTCCAAGCAAGTTTCAAATTTCCCCCTTTAATGAAGCCCCTGACCATCGCCTCATACACACCCTGGCTTGCCAAACTGATGAACTTATCCAAATCAAAAGGCATTTTCAACTCATGTGCCCTTGCCAATATCTCAACAGTTGAAGCAAGAATGCGATCGTCTGGGAACAAATGGGTTTGGTTTTGAGCCCAGCAGAAAACTTGTAGAGCTCGCTCAGGAAGACCCATGTGGCCTAACTCACGGACTGTTAGTGACAAGGACCTTTTGCGCAGAAACCGAGCCCACTGGTTGAGGACCACGGATACATTGTCCTCCAGAGGAAGACTTTTGATTTCCCTAGCTAAGCCAATCAAGAAAGTGGGGTTCTTGTAAATGTGATTCGATAACGGCTGCCTCACGAAAGAAGAAAGATCAGTCCTGAGGAGCTTTTTATGGGTGGGAAGTCCCAAAGGTCGAAGCTTGTGAGGAAGAGGGAGCGGCAAAGGCCTTTCCCTGTTCAGTTTCCCTGGCTTTTGAGGAACTCTCCCTTTGAAAAGGGATGAAATGGCTTCAATCTCATCAGACTCCCAGACCACATTTTCATCATCGCAGTCATAACTAGTATCATTTTCGTTATAATCAACTGCTGATGATCCAGAGTCAAATTCCGGAAACGATTCTTCGACATTACGAAGATCAGGGTGAAAGTCGGGTGAAATTCTAGTTCGACGTGGATAGCGAAGGTTCTTGGGAAGTTCAAGTTTTCTACGATAAGGTCTTCTGCTATCTGCTCGTGCCACAAACAGTGTTCTACGCAAATCAATAGTAACAATATTACATTCAGAGATCGGATATGGATACAGGGAGAAGAAAATTAAGCTCTCCATCTGTCAACTTTCACAAATCAGTTCTAGTAGCCCGAATTGTATTACAGAAACACAGTACTGATTCAACAACTTGTAACGGGCATTTTGTCGAACACCAATCAGGTGTATACTTCCTTAGCATGCCAACTACGAAGTTTGAAGACAGGGAAAAAGGAGAATGACGATGACGGCTGGCACATACGAGAGAGAATGGTGGTGCTCGTTACCGGCGGTTGTGCGATTGTGGTGGTGGCGGAATTTAGTAATGAATGATGTTTGCAGTTGGCGGTGTTTTGAGTTTCATTGAGGTCTCAAGTCGGTAGTTGGAATTATATTCTATTATTTCTCTTCTTTTTAACGTTTCAGTAGAAAAATAAATAGGAATCATAATTTGTACAATTTAATTTAATTTAATATTATGGACAAAAATATCAATTCGATTTGGATGCACATCTCAAATAGCCGATAAGACTATAAAAATCGTTTCATAGTAAGAAAATTGGGAACTAAGAGGTTGAATAACTAAAAATCGATATTTTTTTAAGAGTTCAAGATTTGCATAATCAAACATTTGAGACGTTTCTCAATTAATATTAATAATGTGAGAAACTAAAAGAACAATTAACCTATACTCCATCCCCAATGTCACAAGGATGGCACTTTCAAGACATTCCAGAAATGTTATAAGCAAATTTCTAACATCATCGTCCACTACGATATTATGAGAACCGTCGATCTAAAACGATAACAAATAATCAAAACCCTTGTACGAGGGTTGAGCTTGGAACAAGAAGAATTGCCCATCTCTTTTCTCTCCCAAGGTCAACTATAAGCAAGTTGAGCTGGAACACCCTAGTACGTGCTATTGAAAGCAGAGCTAGAGGGATCAAGGCTCGTGCTAAGAAAATGTGCATCCATCACAATTTTATGAGGGCTATCGATCTAAAGCAATAACAAATCGCCAAAACCCTTGCAAGAGAATCGAGCTTGGATCAAGAAGAATTGTGCCCAACTCTCCTCTCTCCAAGATCAGCTATAAGCAAGTTGAGCGAGATTCTAGAATACCAAATTTCATATTATAGAAAGCCAAGCTAGAGGGATCAAAGCTCGTGCTAAAATGTTCATCCATCACAATGTTACGAGAACCATTGATCTAAATAGAAGACAAATACGAGGGTTGAGCTTGGAACAAGAAGAATTGCGCCCCAACTCTTTTCTCTCCAAGATCAGTTATATGCAAGTTGAGCTAGAACGCCCAAGTTCATGCTATAGAGGGATCCAACCTCGTGCTAAGAAAACGCTAATCAATTATAGTTTAGAACCACAAACCCACTAGCACTTGAAGCTATGATTACATGTCAGTAACAAATTTCAACCTTGGAAAGGAAGTGATTTTCACACAAACCATCAGGATCAAAGTCAATCAGTAGAACCAAACATCTATAACTTCACAATTCCTATAAAATTACTCAATTAAGAACTGGACAAGGAAAGTTTACGGCAATTCTTTATCAGATGCTGGGCACCATTTTCAATGATTTCCAACATATGAAACACAGTATAACTCGATTAGCTTGACTGTTCAAGACTTCCAATATTGATTTCAGCTCTGCAATATAAAATCTTCAGAAAATCTCAATGATGGTCCTCTGGTTTGCACAAACATCATATCTTCTGGGCCATCAGCAAGTTTTTTGAATTTCATTTGTGAGAACTGATAGCTTTAACAGGCAAAGACTGCAGCAGTAGATCACCTGAAATAATAGGAAAGCACAATAAATTTTAGAAAGACTATTAATTGTAACGAAACAGATCAATGAGGGCTGATATATGAATACATCTATTCCAGAAACAAAACAGCAAATGCCCCTGATAGAATAGTTTTAAGTAGTAACATCCACTTCAAGAAACAGTGAAGAAAAGGCTTGGTGCCTGTTTGATGATGAATTTTTGAGAATAGATTTTGTGAAAAGTGATATTTTTAAAGAACATGGGGTTAAAAAGTAGAAGAGTTATGGGTTCACATGCAAAATTATTTTATTGGAAGAATTTTTGGTTGAAAATAAGTCGGGGGGAAAATTTTTTTTAAAGAATATATCCCAAAGAGGGGCTTAATGTTCTACCGTTGTACGTCAGCAGATATCAAAAATAATTTTAAAGTCTCAAGAGGACACTTGAGTGGAGGCGAGGGGGATAATTTCTTCATTAATTGGTTAAACAATGATAGTAAAACCGTACCAAAAGAAAAATCAGGAAAACATTGAGAAAGCAAGATCTACGTTGCTTTTACCAGGAAATATTAATAATTTAATTGTAAAAAGTTCCTGAGGATCCATGAAAAGATGTTATCACTTCTTACCTTCATCTTGAAAACCAAGAAGAACCAGTCACGAGTAAAAACATCAATATTAAACCATAGTTCACCAAGCTATCTAATTCCTTCATCATTTCCATCCTACCAAGAATAGCATTCCAGGTGCGTGTAAAAGGACAAATAGCATGCTTATCCTGTAGCAATCCTTTCCTCATCAGTTTCACATATAAAGAGCTGAGAAGATGACAAAACAAGCTTTAAAAAACTTCATATTTAGCAAAAATATAGAGCTCTCACAGTCATGTTAGGCCCAGTCAATTCTTGAAGAACATCAGAACTTTTTAGACTTCTCTGTTTGTCCTCATCTGGCTGATCCAGAGAAATTTCACTTTTAGATTTAGAGAATTTGCCCGAGAAGGCACGGTAAGCTGAATCAGTGTGGATCATTTCCATGATAGAACCGAAGAAATTGGTCACAGGTACCTAAAGAGAGCAGTGGAGGGAAATTACAAAGTTAAGTTGCAGATATCAAATGGCTACCAATCAATTACCACCCTGTACATATTAATAAGTTAAAAGTCATTCTTTCACATACTGAATTTTAGTAATGATAGAAATAAGCTATATAAAATTCTGTTATAATAATTTCTACAGAACTTTTTTCATTTTGAATTGGTAATCTTCACAGCATCAAAAATGTATGGTGGCATGTGCAACTTCAGCAAAGAAAAGGAATATAAGCAGAAAGAGAAGGGAATGACCAGTAGTATTCTCCTCATTGAAGTGTCCACTACAATAAATGTTGCCTGGGTACACAGATGGTGATGGGAGGTACATGAATTTTGTGTAGTTAAACAAAACAAATTAATACTGTTCTCTTTCTCAGCGTGCTCGAGTGCACGCACGTAGTTGCTCATTCTATTTCTTGATGCATGGTAACTAATTTTATGTGATAAAACGAAACTCTCTTTCTCAACATTTAATAAACAGAACAGGGGATCATCAAATTTGAACAAAAATCAGGGATCTGAATTTTATATACCTCCTCCAATGGCCGGCTGTAAAGATCTGTTCGATAATATGCAGTTGACATCAACAAGTTTGGGTTATATGAACTAAAAAGGCTGCAAAACAAAGGTAAAATCAAAATCATGATCCAAAATTTCAAGGTTGAAAAGAGCTTGAGGTGTTAATGGCCTGAAGATCAATAATAATAATATATGAAAAATTAAAAAAAAAAAAATTGCCCCTATGCCCGAGAAAATGAATAATATATATGAATAATACTTGTAGAGCATGAGCATTTTCCCATGAAGACAAATATTTCACCATTAAGAGCTTTCTTGGTCATGCTTTAACTGCTTATTAGCAGTGGTCCCAAGGAATTCATGGATAATAAGTGAAAAGTATGTTCGACCATCTTAGAGAAAATTTAAACTTTGCCCAAAATGCACTGAGTTGAGATGAATGCAAGAGATCAAGGATCAGACACTGGTCAGAATGTCAGATTGAAGAATCAAGTTTCACAGGATTCCATCAGATAACAACTGATATTCTCATTCAATATATGAGATATCACATCCAAAATTGGAAGGATTAACTTATTTGATTCAGCAGATACTTTACAGGAACATCCATAGTTATTTTAGGGCAACAATAACCCACACAATTTGCGGAAGTAGTGATCTAGACTTTCTTTTTATCTTCGGTTATCTTATATTCAGGACAGAAGAGGAAATGAAGAATTATCCTGAAAAACAGCTGCTCTTTTCTATTGTCACCAAACCCCCATCTGCCTCAAGCAAATTGCTATGCAGTGACATTGATCCAGTTGATTAATAAAATTGTAAAAAGGTTTGAATTGCGCTTATGTTGACAATTTATACCCAGCCAGAATGCAGAAATGCTGGTTATGCTACAATTACTTCACACTTTCAGAAATTACTTAGAACGGCTAAACAATAGAGAAAATTAAAATCTAAATTGTTTTGTAAAAGGATGTATAGACTTCAAAAAAATAAAAGGAAAGTTTTTTAAAAGGTCTTCTTCCACAGATAGAAATGAAAATAATCATGTTTTGAAAATTTTGTCAAAACTGCTTCATTCTTACTTAAATACCTTCGTTAGTAAAAGCTCACTCGACCAACTCGATCTTCTACTCAACTGGATCACATTAACATCAATTCTTTATGAGTATATAGTTTATTCTTCTTTTCTTTGTATCTCCCTCTTGTCCATCTTGATGTACACACCAAACCCAAAAATAAAACTCCACATTCCATTTCTCATCTTCACTTCCCTCCAAAGTCATCTCAGTCGAAGGGTGTGAAGGTTGCAGTATCAGGAGGGAAAATTTTATACATTCAAATCAGAATAAAAAATTTGAAATATTGAATGTTGACAAATGAAGGAATGCCTTGAGAAAAATTTTTGGAGGGCATTGTCTGTATCCTCTTACTACTTCAGTCATGACAGGAAAATTTCTCAAAATGAAAAGAACTTATAGGAGGAATATTACGATAACGTCATGGAAATATGCATCAAATTATATATGTTTACATACCTGCTCAATGAGGAATTGTCATACATATTTCGCCTCTCAAAGAAAGCAAGGGTATAAAATGTGAATCGATCTACAACAGATACACCAACCTGTATCAAAGAAACAAATATGAGAGTGTAATTACCCAAAAGTTCAGAACAGGTGGAGAAAACAAAAATCACCAGGAACTATCACATCCGATCAAACAGCAGAAAGAGGAAACTGGTAATCAGCACTTACATCAGAGTCCAAGTGATGCGAATATGAATTCTCTCCTTTCATGCTACTTCCAATAGCCAAAACACCAGGCGATTGAAGCTGCAAATAAGCGGACACCCTTTTACATTTAGCAACTACTAAAAGGAACACTTCATACTGGTGACAAGAAAGGAATACCCAAGAGAACACAGGTCAAGTCACATATAGAAGGTCTAGCAAGATCAAAAACACCAGTACCTATGATGCTCGAACTTGGGTACGGTTAACGGATATGGGTAAAAAATCTAAGTATCGGATAATTTATTTTTTTAAACGTAGGATACGGGGACATGACTAAAAAGAGTCCAAATTTCGGACACGGGTACGTAGGTATGTCTTTGAAATTTCAAATTTTTTTCAAAAAAATTCACATGTAAAAAGTTAAATAATAATTAGTTGCAAATTGTTAAAAGATAAACATGTCACTTAAGAATCAACTAGAAATTTATAAACAAAGTCTAAAACACCAAAAAAAAAATTATAATAATAAATAAATAAATTGACATGACAAAGTACAAAATTAGTTATCTTATTTGTTTTAGAAAAAAATTAATTTAGAACAAAAATAAACTGTTTTAGAATTTATTAAAAAATCTTTTTTTTTTTTTTTTAGCTTTTCGTATAAACTTTTTTAAAAACTAAGAAACTAAAATTAATAAAAAAATTATTTGCCATGATATTTTTTTTAATTAAAATGATCTTATCTAAATCAAAAGAACTAAAAAGCATATTTAAGAAATAATACAATCAATAAGACAAAAAAAAGAGAGAGATAAATAAACCTAACTTATAAAACTTTTAGGCTGTAAATAAGCATCAACTATCAACCACAGTGAATTAAGAAAAAAGTCCAAAAAGGTCCAAAAGTTAAAAGAAAAAAAGGCCCGCCCAACTCCAACACCCGTTAAACCCCCTTTCTTCTTCCCTAAACCCTGGCTCTGCGCAACAATGGCGGCAACAGCAGGAACTCCAATAGTTTCCACATCTAGCCATGTCTGGTTGAAACTTGCCGTTTCTGACCAGTATTTCATACCCGTACCTATGTCATGTCGTGTCAACACGAGTACGCTGGCCAAAAAGAAGGGTCCGCGCATCACAATGGTGAAGTATGCATTCTGTTCGGGCCATCCAAGAAGCAGGTAGTAGATATTTTTACAAAGGGTGGAGCAAGACAAAGCTTTGAAAAATGTGTAGACAAGCTGGGGATGATTGATATCTTCACACCAAGTTGAGGGTGAGTGTAGAGAGGTTACAATTTTATTGTGATATAGTTATCATAGTTTTAGTTTTATCTTTATTTGAATTTGAATAAATTGGTGAGATAAGATAAGCCAGTCAGTCAGTTAGTAAGAGTTGTTCCTTTTATTTCTCTACAGTTTATATTCAAATTAGACGAGTCCTATTTTTAATGGGATCTGACATTGTATTCATCTCTATTTAATAGAGTTATTCATGTATAAACTATACAATTTTAGAGATCATCAAATCAATAGTATGGTAACAATTATGTACATGTAACACGACCGTAATAATAATGTAGAACAGAAAACAAAAAGGCAAAAACGCACCTTTCCCTGAAATAGTGAGGCGTCGTATAACCTCTCTGAACAAAGGTTGTACACTTTGTATTTTCCCTGCATATGAAAGAAGAATTCAGATAGACTACTTAACCTACAATGAGAAGACATCTAGGATATAGGCCATAAAGTAATATTAGAACCAAAACCATGCAGCATCCCACATAGGTAGAAGAATGAATGTGTGACCGCTTATGTAGACCTATGATGCTCGGACTCTTCAGTTTGGACGACGTACATGTGTCAACACAACACAATATGACATGGGTATAGATATGAATCTCATGTTGGATCCTTCAATTTAGAAATCTACAGGGCAAGAACGTGAAAAGGAGCTCATCATAGGAAGAAATAGGAGTTGCAAGGAGATAAAGAGTGCATCCATGATTTTTAAAGCAATAAAATCGATTTTGAGGCATAAAACCAAGATTTTGATAGGATGAAACCAAGCCCATTTAATGCTACACTCCCTACAAAATATATATATAATTATAAGTATTTATCTTCTAAAAATTTATGTTTGCTAGATATACCCATGTACTCAAGGCCATATATCCATATCCTAAGTTTTAGAAGAATAAAGATCCTACTCCTAGATATGTATCTGTACCCGACACCCATTCCCAAGTCCGAGCAACATAGATGTAGGATATACAAGACATCAATTAACTT